TTTTTTGAGATGGAGTCACTCTGTAGCCCAGGCTAGAGTGCAATGACACTACCTTGGCTCACAGCAACCTCCATCTCCCGGGTTCAAGCAATTCTCCTGCCTCAGCACCCCGAGTAGTTGGGATTACAGGCACTTGCCACTACACCCGGCTAATTTTTGTATTTTTATTACAGATGGGGTTTCACCATGTTGGCTGGGCTAGTCTCGAACTCCTGACCTCAGGCAATTCGCCTTCCTTGGCTTTCCAAAATGCTGAGGTTACAGGCATGAGTCACTGTGCCCAGCACTTACAGGCATTTTTAAGTTGTCTGTTTTATAGCACAGATGCATTGATTAATTAATCATTCATACAAATTTCAACAAATACCTTCTGAGTGCCTATCTTGTGCCAGATATTACAAATATAATGTTGAAAGATACAAGCTTATCGTTGAGAATGGAGACAATGAAGTTAAATAAGGATTACTGGGGATGGTGAGATAGGAAACAATAAGAGACAGAAATGCATAGAGTATTGGGTACTTACAGAATTTTTAAAACTTTGTCATTTACCAGCTGTTTGGCCTTTCTCAAATTGGTCAAATCTCTTGGCACTTCAGTTTCCTCATTTGTAAAATGGGGAAAATATTAGTGCTTATTTAATAAGGTTGTTGTTAACATTAACCTGTATGGTGAACACTACCATGTGTTAATACATATAAAGAATTTAGGAGTGCCTGACTTCCAAACATTTAATAAACATTAGTTATTAAGCATTAAACAAATGTTGGATATTATGATGATAAGTCATGTTTCCTATTAACATTAAAGTCTATTACCAAAGTTTATTCAATAGATAGCTAGCTTATAATAGGAGGCATTAATTAAGTCTACTAATTGGAGCAAGACTTTTTCAGATAAGGATTTCTGTTCAAAACAAGGTCAATTTGAGCTGTGAACATTTTCTTAAGACTTTTGTGTAATTTTCTATTATCTTTAAGATAACTTTCAAGAAACTTTCTTCTTTTAATCAAAAGACTTAAATTCAAAATTCTTCTGTTCAGCAACACATCTCCCTTGTCTCTTAGTAACTAGGAGGTGATCTACCCACTTGGTCAAAACACAAAGTAAGATATGCCAGTGTATTACAGACTTACAGCACAAAACTTACCTCCTTGATTTCAGGAGAATTGAATTGGAATTTAAAAGGGGAATTGCGTTACCTCATACAGTACAATTATTTTACTGTTGTATCCAAGAATTATTGAAAACATAAAATTTACTATCTGGTACTTTCCATATTTGGGGATACACTGCTCTAGCCTAACCCCTTCATTTTACGAAGAAAGATGCATTACATGCTGTGTAAGCTGCTGTCTCAAGGCCGTACAACTAGATGATGGAGAAGCCTTTGCCAAAGTCAGGTCCCCTAATTGTTCACAGCACAGAACCAACTCTCCTTCATACACATGGCAACTAGATAGCTGATTCTAGATGGGGAGACATTTTTCTCAGTGATAGGCTTAGGAAAACCTCTACCTACCAAAGTGGTCAGATTTTTAAACATCTGTTTTACAAAAGAAAATCCTCTGCACCAAATATCCAATCTCTTACTCCATAAAGAATACGAAATATTAGCCAGAAATTTATAGATGTAGATAACAATTTTGAACATGATCATTCCTAAAGTGAAAAATGTACCTTCCTACTTACAATTAACCCATTGTCATTATTCTGCATTAATTTTGGAATCTACATATTTATAAGTCACTTCTAAGGAAAGAAGTCCATACATGTGGCACAACAGTAATCAGCTTCAGAACGGAAACTGCTGCATTTAAAAAAAATCAACTTATAATGAAAATAAAACAAAA